TCGGGGCCCCGATTCCGTAGGAGGCCGAAACAAAATGATGGTGGCCAATGAGATTTATCAACACCGGGCGTCGTCGGGCCGAGCCTTCGATTTCTTAGGAGTTTTTCCTGCTGCTGGGAAAACAGGCAAATACCCTACTCCTTTTGCTACATACACACAATACAGCTTTTCTTTCTGAGAGGCACCTTTTGCATTGATCTGCTTCTGATTCAAAACAGTATATCAATAGCTATCGCAGTCTTACCTGTTTGTCTATCTACAATAATAAGTTCTCATTGACCACGACCTATTGGAACAAGGCTATCCGCCGTTATTAATCCTGTTTGCATTGGTTCATGTACAGATTTACATGAACTAATTTCCAAAGCTTCGACTTCTCTACACGTCTCCTCTCTACAGCACCCAAAGCAACTTTTCCACAAATAGGTACTCCTAATGCATCAACAACACGACCCAACGTAGATTGATATAGTTACCTAACGGAGCATAAACAGACAGAGAGAGAGATGAGAGAGAAAAGAGAGAGAGGGTGAGAGAGAGAGAGAGAGAGGAGAGAGAGAGAGAGAGAGAGCAGAGCAGAGAGCACAAAGAAAGGCGAAAGCTAGGCTGTTGAAATGGTCACCTTGTGGAGCATAAACGGACAGCGTGAGAGGTAAGAGAGAAAGAGAAAGAGAGAGAGAGAGAGAAAGAGAGAGAGGCCATACTCGGTCGACAGAACAGCAGACAAGAGGGGATATGGGAGGGAGGGGACACGTCAGCTGCAAGTCCATATACACTCACCATATCACCTGCGATAGACCCTTTTTTTACCCCACTTCGTTTCATTCCCGAGGAGAGGGAAAATCTGCTAAGATAAGAGATTCATCAATAGACGATACCTTCAACACGGGTCCTCTATCTCTCCATAAGTTTTCTGTATGTTCCACTCCCACGACTCTACGGGCCTCGCCACACCACTCACCAAATGCAACACTCCGAAATCCGAATGTATCTGGACCATCGCATGTTCAGATTCATTCAGAATGTTGCCACATTCATTCAGAATGTTGCCAGATTCATTCAGAATGTTGCCATTTGGCGACTGATGCGGCGAGGCCTTATATGTGCGAGGTGCTCGGCGTTCGATACCAAATCGGACTATAATCCTGTTCATCGAAAAAAAGAAAACATATCCAGTCTCTTGGAGTAGGAGAAGGGAACAAAAAAAAAAAAAAAAAAAAAAAAAGCGAAAAAAAGAAAGAAAAAAAAGGGAGCCCTCCGCCACATCCGTTGAAATTGGACCGATACAGATTTTTTTTTCTTTTTCTTTTTTTAAGCTAAAAAAACTACGCTGTATTCTTCTCTCAAATCTTTCATCATCTTTCACCTTCACTACCTACCTACCACTGCTCCTAAGCTTGTATATAGCCTTTATTAAAAAAAAAGAAAAAAAGCTTATACAGGGGACACCTGCGAACACAACTTTGTTGTCTCCCTCCATCCGCCCATCAGAGGGGATGCATGTTGCCCTCATCCCCTCTGGTGGCTCCTCATCCCCTCTGGTGGTTCCTCATCCCCTCCGGTGGCTGGCGGGAGACAACAGGTACAGAGAAGATTAGCATGGCCCTTGCACATGATGACACGAGTAAATCGAGGGGGGGGGGAAAAAAAAAAACGGGAGATGGGTTTCACAAGAAAGTCGAGACGATACCTTTCTAGGCGTTTTTGTTTTTTTTTAAGCTATATTCTTCTCTAGCGTTTTGGCTCAAATGAATTGTATAAAGGAAAAAATATTTATATCACAGAAAAACAATTCGAGGCCGGGGTTCCCTCCACAATCAACCCTGCATGACAAGGTGCTTTAACGACTTCTCCACAGCTTGTTTGACTTTTGCCCAGTGTGCTGTCTACTGCTTTCGTTTCTTTTTGCGTTTGCAGTTCATCTTGATATCCCCCATTACCCGCTTCCGGGGTAGTTTCTTTAGTTTTTTTTTTAATTCCGGGGTAGTTTCTTTAGTTTTTTTTTTTTTTCCGGGGTAGTTTCTGTTCTGACCTAATCAGTTTAATACCCGATCCATGGTCCACCATGGAGCGAGGCGCGGGCACCGTCTCACTACTACCGTCTTCGCGCGAGCATAACCCACCCTGAGGGCATATTCACACTAGTTTTTTTTTCCCACTGCTCCGCGGGCGTAGAAGCGGTCAGGTGTCCACTTCTCTGTGGGCGTAGTTGCGGTCAGGTGCATCCAGCGATGGTCCGAAAAGTGGTCATATACATCCAAGGAAGTTCTGGTGTGCGCGGCCCTCGCCCCACTAACTCACCAAACTTCAAAACGGTTGGTGAGTGCTCACCAACGCAGCGAGACCTCAAAAACACACCAAACCCAACAAAAAAAAAAAAAAAAAAAAAAAAAAACACTCACCAAACCCAGACCTCGCCGCAGCACCTCACCAAAGTTGGTTGTCAAGGAATCGTGCCCCGGCTCGACCACTAACGACAAAGCAAAAGAACAAAAAGCATGTCCAGACCGGCAGTCTGGACGGGGCCCAACCTCACCCATATCGTGGGTAGCAACTAGGGCTCATTTCTTTTCACGCCCGGCTGCTCCTGCCAGGCCGGGCAGCCGGGAATGACGCCCGGGGTACCCGGGCGTGCAAAAAAAAAAAAAAAAAATTGGCTTTCTGCGCTCTCCCAGGGGACCCCAAATCCGGGCTCATTTCTTTTTTTGCGAGTTGGCTGTCAAGGGGCGGGTGGGGGGTATAAATTTAGCTTGAAAGGGGCTAAAGGGGTTTTAAAAGGGGGGTGCCTTAGTGTGATTCTGTTATTTTATTTTTCATCTCCGATTCTGTGAGGAATTTCAATGTGACCCTCAGCCAAAAGACGTTTGTATAGCAATTCTACACAACTTTTTTTTTTCCGGAATTTTTCTTCTTTTTTTTTTTTTTTTTTTTTGGCGCCGAGACTGCCCAGAACCCTGCTCGGGGGTCATGCCCGGCCGGGCACCCGGGCATGTACCCGGCCATCAGTTGGGTGCCTGGGCGCCCGGAAAAACAGCCTAGCGTCGCAACAAGTTCCTCTTGCCTTTTTTTTTTTTTTTAACTACACTATGTTCTTCTCTCAAATTCTTTTTGGCTCCCCCACCCCTTTGGAGGCCTCCGCTCATCCTTCAAATAAAATAGAAAGCTCAAAAAAAACAAAAAAAAAAAAAACGAAAAAAAAAACGAAAAGTTCCTCCTACCGGAGCATGGTCCCACTAGCAACGGGATAGGATAGAAAATAATTTTGTATGGCAGCTGAGTGACCCAAATCCTGCCGTGCAGTACTCGCGAGTGATCCCACGGTCAGTATTTTACATGTATTTAATTTACCCTAAAAAGCAAGGAGATCTTTGTTCCCCTCCTCCTCTCCTTAACACTCGGCATGCCCGTGCAAAGAAAGCTTCCCGCCAGAATCTTTTTAATCGGTTGGGGGTGTGGCCAACCCCAAAAGAGGGTGGGGTCGGCCTTAGGCCCACTGGATAGAAGATTTTCAGTATTTTACTTGCTGTTGTGCAATTACCTCATTGGGTGCAGCCCTCCTTCAATCACGGAGTATATATATATATGGAGGGCGTCATGATCACTGCTGACAGAAGTCGAGTTTATTCCCAAAACAAAATGGGAGTTACTTTGTTCACTGTTGTTGCAATTGTGATCTGATCTGATGGCTGGGAAGAACTCTGCCGTCATTTCCGGTGGGAGGTCTCTGTCCCTTTTTTTGTTTTTTTTTTTCGCTTTTTCTCCTGTTTTCTCAGCCCAAAAATTCGTAATGAACCTGTCAGACCGCTGTCACACAGTGTCACACTGGATCGGCCACACTCCTATCCGCCTGCTAATGGGACCACGCTTCCGAGCTCGTGTGTTTTTTTTTTTTTTTTAAAGCTATAGTCTTCTCTCAATTTCACCTCACACTACCTACCTACAGGGATTTTGTTCTTTTTGTTTTCTTTTTTTTCCAAGCGGGGATTTTCTTCCGTTAAGGTGAGCCTCGCCAGCCTCAAGTTACACAAAAATTTGATTCGAAGACTCGCCAAATGCACAAAAGACAGAAATGATGGCGGTGCAAATGCACAAAAGACAGAAATGATGGCGGTGCATCTTTCCATGTTCTAGCGGAAGATTCATTCTCATTTTGTACATTTGGTGTGTGGTGCGGTGAGGCCCGTTCTCACACGCATGCTTTGCTAACGTAGTGCGACCTCACCAAAGTGTGACTTTAACGAGTAGTGCGGCGAGGCCCAATATGCCCTGAGAACGAGTGTACACAACCTATCTTTCCAGTCCGGTACAGGCATGATGCCTGTGCCAAGAGAATGAGTGTACACAAGCTATCTTTCCAGTCTGGTACAGGCATGATGCCTGTGCCCAGAGAACGACTGTACACAGGCATGATGCCTGTGCCCAGAGAACGACTGTACACAAGCTATCTTTCCAGTCAGGTACAGGCATGATGCCTGCGCCCTGAGAACGAGTGTACACAAGCTATCTTTCCAGTCCGGTACAGGCATGATGCCTGTGCCCAGAGAATGAGTGTACACAAGCCATCTTTCCAGTCAGGTACAGGCATGATGCCTGTGCGTTGTGTTCGGCGGAAGACGGTGGTACCGGGATCATAGCTACGAAAAAAAAAAATAGCCACAACAGACGGAGAGGCGGGCGATCAGATATATGTTGACGTCCAAGATTACACAAACCAATCAATCGGTTGGCTATGATCGATTATTATGAGATAGCAACACCAGACAACAAGGCGGAGAGGCGGGCGATGAGATATATGTTGACGTTCAGATATATATTGTCACACTGTGAATCAGAGCGCGAAGGTGAAAAAAAGACAAAACAAGAAAGGGAAAAGGGAAGGAAGGAAGGAAAGCCCCACCCCACCTGTTCATCACCTGTTACGTACAAGGCCAGCCACGTGGATGACAGGTATTATGTTTACGTCCAAGATTACATAGCCAATCATAGCTATGATCAATTACGACATGATGCCACTTGTGGTGTGCATGCCCTCCCTCGCCGCACCATTCACCCTCCTAACGTGCAAAGTGAGAGAATGAATGTGAAGCAAGTACATAAGAATATACATACACCGCATTTGTGCACTTGGTGAGCAGTGCGGCGAGGCCTGTACTCCTTGAAATATACACCACACCTGATTCCTCTTCGCTCGTGCTCCTTGCCAATACAAAAATCAACACAGCAACACTCACAATCAAGATCTCTCGCACGACAACATCCTTTATCACTGACTTGCCTTATACATGTTGCCTCCCACACTTTTATCAATGCCTTGCCTTACATGCAGCCTCCGATACTTTATCAGGATCCTTTCCTTCATCACACGGGTCCTTCAACCCCCGGCCGTATCTCATCTCTCCTCTCCTCACCACCATCCACCACCTCTCCTAGCCTCCTCCCGTTCAGTCAACAAAGGGGGGCTCCTCCCCGGAAAATTCCAGCCTTTTTAAAACTAATAAAGTCGTGGTCGCACGGGCCTAGTAGGTCAGTCGATACACCCATGAACTGCTGAAATACCGACCCATGTACGGGTCTAGTTGTCGCAAACATAAGAACGGTACTCCACTCCAAGCGCGTGCATCATTATTCACCGTACGACCGTCAAGATGACAAAACTGATTTTGAAGCAATAGTCCTCCATCTCGTAAATGAGATGTCCCAAAAACTTTCTCTAGCGCGAACAACATAGAGAGAGAGAGAGAGCAGCAGCAGCAGCAGCAGCAGCAGCAGCAGTGAAGCTGCCTGGGGGAGACAAAGGGAAAGGAATGGGGGGGGGGGGGGGGGGGGGGGGGGGGGGGGGGGGGAGTGGAGACAGGCAGACAGTGAAAGCGAGAGGGAGAGGTAGAAAGAAAACGCTGGGGAGATGAATCAGCTATACCAGCGAAAATCCAGCAGCTCATTTCGCCAAGAGCGTGCCCGCCTTCTTGAGAGAAAGACGAGCAGGGGAAAAGAGGAAAAGAGCGAGAGAGAGACAGAGAGAAGAAAAAAAACGGCTAAAAACGAAAAACCAGCAGCCCATTTTCCCAAGCACGTGGCTGCCTTCTTGAGAGAAACAAGCGGGGAAAAGGACAGACAGAAAAGGAGAGAGAGGCGGCAGCAAGAAGCACGGGGGCGAGGGGGGAAGCAGGGAGGGGGAAAGAGGGGGAGGCAGGGAGGGATGAGGAGGGAGGGTAAAACTGACCATTGGTTCGTAATGCCAGCCCCGTGCGGAAGGCGTCATGGGCGTGGCTTTGGCACGACCCAGCAGCAGCGGCGACGGCATAACAAAAGCCCATCCGCAAACAGAAAAAGGACTCGCCAGTGTCATCTACCACGATAAAACTGTTGCCCATCTCAGCAGAATCCAGCTCCTCATCGAATGTACAACTTGCCGCCGATCATCTTCAAAGGCACAACCTTATCTACCTTATTCCCTCCCTTTCCCTTGAACAACACTTGCCACGGATACAGAAAGGCACAATCCTGTCCAACGTACTCTCGCTCCCTTGAAAGTATGCTTGCCGCCAATAAAGACGGCACACCCATCCCTCTGCTACTCCCAAATGCCATCCAACGGTTGGAAAGCCAAACTACACTATACGGGAGCGCAGCCTGATCATCGGCAAGAAAAACGTTTCTTGCCAAAGCAAGCATCACTTACCCGATCTGACAAAAAAAAATTAAGGCTGGAAATCAAATGCAGAGCTGTACAAGAAAATCAATTAATCTAACTCCAGAGGAAAACAACTACGACACCGTCAAGAAGAAATTTCCCCGTCCTATCCGGCACTACTCGCCCCTTATTGGTCACGCTTTCGCATCGACCATGCTCTCTCTCTCTCTCTCTCTCTCTCTCTCTCTCTCTCTCTCTCTCTCTCTCTCTCTCGCACACACACACGTACACACAAAAACGGGTGCACACGGGCAGAGAGAGCGGGCAGACATGCACGCTCTCTCGCTCTCTCACACACACACGTACACACAAAAACGCGTGCACACGGGCAGAGAGAGCGGGCAGACGTATGCACGCTCTCTCTCTCTCTCTCTCTCTCTCTCTCTCTCTCTCTCTCTCTCTCTCTCTCTCTCTCTCTCTCTCTCTCTCTCTCTCTCTCCATCTACCTTTTTTATCTCTACCCAGGTTATGTATATGCCGTGACCCCACTCCGCTCCCTCGGCCACTCCCATATGAATGTCCATTCCACAGCAAATCCCAACTACCCCATGTGGACGATCTATATGCTAGTCCCTGTCCCTTCGTCTATTTCCTGCCAGCTTGCTGGTCCCACAGTGCTGGTGGTAAGTTTGAAGCAGCATGTAGTAACTCCGGAGCCGTCTGATGCCTGGAACACACGTGCACATCACCCCGCCAAACGTGGGGTAAATTACAGCAATACACAAGGACCCAGCGAAGCAGATACGACACCCATCTTACGGTTCATCTTAGAACAATCCAACAACCATCTTATTACCTTCGAAGCCAGTGCGTCAATACCCCACAACCTTCTTTGACCCATCCTACAACCATCTCAGAACGATCTTACCCCGCCCGCCGCCAGTGCGTCAATACCCCAGCTCGGAAGCCGGCAAGGCCTCGAGCGCCGAAGCTGCGCTCGAAATAACCATCTTAGAATCATCACCGAACCATCACCGAACCATCACCGAACCATCTTCGAACCATCACCGAACCATCACCGAACCATCATCGAACTATCACCGAACCATCTTAGAACCATCATCGAACCGTCATCGAACCATCATCGAACCATCATCGAACCATCTTAGAACCATCATCTGAGAACCCCAGGCAGGCCGTCAATATCCCAGCACGGAATTCGGCAATGCCTCGAGCGCGGAAGCTGCGCTCGAATCGAATTTCCGAGCGAAGAGGAAGCATCCTTTGATATCGTCCGGTGTGTTGTGGGGGCACTCTGGTGCCTGGATCCGGGCAATGAGCGCCGGCGTGACGACCTGCGCGTGATAGTTTAGTGGATGGTCCCCGCCCGCCCTCCAGTCTACCCACGTGACTGTGCGCGCAGCTATCTCCTTTGGCACCTGGATATGAAAAAAAGTCTGAATGTAGTGCTCATCAGGATAACACCATCTATGATCTAATCGGTTCAAACAGTGGTCACGGAACTTCGGGAAGTACTTGTCGTCGCTCACAACCATCAGCGCGTGTTTCCTCGTGACCTCGAACCATTGCGCTCCTTTCCGCCACGCAGAGAGCGGAACCTCGGGCATCATGGCAGGGTGCCAGCGGCCTCGTCCTGTTGGCCCCTGGTCATCAAAACTATCTACAAAACTGCGATTCGATAGCATCAAATAGTCATACACGTAGCTAAAGGATCTAATGGGAATACAAGACTCGGAAACTAATACGAAGCGCTCATTAGCCGGATCCAAGAGAGCATTGGCAAGCAACCGCCTCTCCGCTTTAATCATCGAGCACTCTCCCCATTCCACCCTCTCACTTCGAATGTATCGCCCCCAGAAGGCACGTTGCAGAGTGATGTCCTCAATCCAGTTGTACGACGGATCGCCATGAACATAGACGGAATACCGCGCCTCATTCCCCTTAAAAAACCTTCTCCATACCCACGAAAGCGGTAAAGGCCCTCTGGTGAGGAACATGAAGGCTATTTTCGCCGTATAACTACCTGCTGCTGCTGATGCTGATGCTGATGCTGATGATGCTGCTGCTGCTGCTGATGATGATGATGATGACTCAGGCCGCTCCTGATTCGGGATTTGCACCGCGCGCGCCGCCTTAAGCAACTCGGCATCAGTCATTGAGTGAAGATCAGGAAACGTCAATTTCAGCGCCTCCTCGTCGGTCACTTTACGCCCTAGCGCCTTTTCTGCCGCCACCCGTGCCTGTCTAACCTCGTAAGCTCTCATGATAACATGAAGCCGATCTCGATTTGCCAGAGGGATCATTTTCGGGCCTTTCATTCCCAGACTTCGCAACCAAAGCTCTGCTGCTCGGGTATTAATCGACGAGTTCCTCGGCGACTGGGAACCAATCAAGACCAGACCGGTCGAGGTCGAGTTCAACGAGGTGGCACTTGGCCGAGGAGCAGCAATGCTCGAAGATGAATGATTCATTCTATCCCCTGCCGAATCATTAGCTAATATAACCCTACCAACTTGTGCCCCCACTACATCCCCATTATTCTCTTTCCTTTCTTCCTCGCCAGCCACCTTTTCCTCCGATCCACTGTTATCCCTTCCATTCATTCCTCCTCCTCCTGTTTCTCCTCCTCCTCTTTCCCCTCCTCCTCCTGTTTCTCCTCCTCCTCCTCCTCCGCCTCCTCCTCCTCCTCTTTCCCCTCCTCCTCCTCCTCCTCTTTCTCCTCCTCTTCCACTTTCTCCTCCTCCTGTTTCTCCTCCTGGTCGTCGTCCTTGAAATTCCGCTGCTATTCCTGATACCCTAACATTTTTCTCTCCCTCTCCTCCCTTACCGTCAGCACCAATCAAAGTAGCGACCTTTGTCTCATTGACTCCAGCTGTTGGGATCTGGACTATTGTCCCATTCTCAACTGTTTCCCGAGGAACAGTACCGCCAGGGGTCTCCATTGCTGTTGCAATTGTCGCCACCGCCTGTCCCTTCCCTCCAACTTCACCTGCTCTCCCATCTCCAACCCCTTCATCTATAGAGAGAGCGCTCCCACCCTCTGTTTGATTCGCCGCTTTGGGCGGCCGCTCCCGTCCATCCAGTACTTCCAACTTTTCCTCTCCGCCTCCTGCATCTTCGTGCGCCTGCTCATCTGGTTCGCTCGACACCCGTTGCAATACCCCTTCTCCGCCTCCTCCTCCTCCTCCTCCTCCTCCTCCTCTTCCTCCTCCTCCCCCCTCGCCATCCTCCCCCTGACTTCCTTGCGGCTCATCCGTCTCGTTAAACCCACCTGCAAATGCGGGCACGAAATACTTATCAAGAATAGGGAGCCCGCTTCGGATTCGAGACAGTCCGGATACAGATTCCCCGGCTTCTGAGACATAAAACATGGAAAAATCGGTTAAAATCCCATACATGCCCAGAACAGTAACGATGACGAGTATCACAGCGATCTGCCGACCACCAACTGCCCTCCTCACAGCAAAAAGCGGGAGCTTCATTGGGACCTGCGGGCATGCAATAGCAATCAACCCAAATAACTAATAGGAAAACATATTGAGCTTGAACCCCCCCCCTTGCAGCCGCCGAGGCTGGACCCCCCTTTGCAGCCGCCGAGGCTGAACCCCCTCTTGCAGCCGCCGAGGCTGAACCCCCCCTTGAAGCCGCCGAAGCGAAACCCTTCGCGCGCTCACGCCGCCCAATACGGCCGTCTGAACCGAGGAAAAAGAGCACACGTGGAGATGGCACGAAATGCCAAGAACGCGCGAGAGATAGCACGCGTGAGACAGACAGGCAGACAGACAGACAGACAAACAAGCAGACAGGCAGTGAGGGAGCCGCAAGGAGAGCAGACGGAAAAGGCATCATGGGAGCACAAAACGCAGCTCACGGCCTCAGGATCGATCTTGACCGTCCGTGCAGCCCATAACCCACCGAAACCTCGTCATCGCTCTTGCGCTTCCAACCCGGGGCCAACGCCGGCGACAGCTGCCACCTTTGCAGACGAGCCACCGTCTACCCTTATCATTACCACTCATTTTGGCCAATCTTCTTATAGGCAAGATCGCCCATATCTCCGCTTACACGTCCACGAGCGCCCGAGCGCACACTTCTCCACACACACACACACACACACACACACACACCCCTCTGCCTCGTGTTTCCCTTCGTCGGTCACTACCGATGTTGTCTGGCTGCTTCTTGCCAAGAAACCATCTCCTCACGGGTTCCACCTACTTGTCGAGTTCTGTCCAAGGTGCAATGAACGGCACGGCACCCCCAGGAGCCCGCCCCCGCGCCCGCGCCTGCGCCTGCGCCCGCGCCCGTCCATCAGTCTGAGCACCTCAACAACTCTTCGTGCTTTGTCGCCGGCCAACTCAATCACGATGAGACAGCTCCGACAAATCATCCGCGCGCATTCCGTCGGGAAATTTCGGACCCCTTTTGTCGACGATTGGTCGGCCGAGACCACCCTGTCCGAGGTGGGAGCAAAGCAGAACCACGAAAATACCGTACCGTGGCACCCAGTCACCGTCCACTGCCCTGTGCCGCAGGGGCCCTCTTCAAACTACTGCCAATCTCGCCCTGGAGAAGACTAACGAGGGTCAGGGCCAGATCCCAGTAGCCCCTATTGTTCATTTCTGACCGTTCATCTTCGTAATCGAGGGTGAAAAATGAATAATCCAGGGTAGTGGGATCTGACCCTCAGTGCAGTGCTGAGATTACTTGGGCATCCTCCACCGCCCTGTGCCGCAGGCCCCCTCTTCAGGCTACTACCAATCTCGCCCTCAAGAAGACTAACGAGGGTCAGTGCTGAGATTACTTGGGCTGCGTTCTTTGCTTTTTTTTTTTTTCGTTTTGTTTTTCCCTTCAACTATGTCATCCCAATCCGAGGCCGGGGACCTCACAATTCAACCCGGTGTACTGACAGCATCAGCCAGCTTAGCTTACAGGCAAGTGGCCTGCATTACTACCGACTTTCTCAGTCTCAAAACATGTTCACCCACTTAGGCCTTCCTCTACGTTACTGCATATCCTATGGCTTTGTTCCTCGTACATCTGAAACATCTGTTCTGTATTTCTGCTTTGGTGTGGACTGACTAGCCTAGTCGGGGACTACTGGGGCCCAGAGGACAACTGTCCATTCCTATAGACACTCTTCTATTGGCCCACTGTGGCCCTAACAACCGAGTGCCCTGGTTACTCTACTAAGTTATCCGTTCGAACTAGTTCCTAATTGTAAACCCCTGATTATCTACACTCTCAATCCAACGAGACAGGACAAGTCCTTTCCTCGAGTGAACGCCTGTCAGCTGATGATTCATTGCCCAGGTACGCAGAAACCATCTTAGCTGTCTTCTGTTCCCTTTCCCTGCCTTATCCATCCTCCTCCAGTCCACCCAGATTCCCTGTTTCAGACCCTGTTTGATATGTCTTTTAGTTTCCAGGTCAGAGAAAGGCTTGCTCTGTTTCTGTCCAACTAAATCACCTCGCAAATCAGACCCCTGACCACATTCGCAACATAGCCCCATCCCCTGTGTCCGTTCAGAGTGGGGGGGAAGGAAACCCAGCAGCACCCATTGCTCATCCCATTCCACTCCCTGTCCTCCAAACTCCTTCCAGTGATATTCCCACCATTACCAGATTCGCTTGGAAGCTGGACACTCCCACCATAAGTGCCATGTGGATTCGAACGGCCATCTACACCTGGGACACCCCATTTCCACCTGCATTCCCCTGCTGAGGAGCCAGACCGCTGAGGGGGTTACTAACAGGGAGAGCAACCAAAGAATGCTGGCTTGTTTACCATTAGGTAATCTGGTCAGATTTTTCCACAGCCTCTCGAAATCATGTCCAGTCCCTGCAAGGAGCAAACCTTGCCAAACTGCTTGCCACGAGATACTGCCACCTGTGCCGGTGGTTTCAAATGCGTGGTGGCGATCTGGTAACCCTGGGCGACTGAATACTCCTGTAGGCTTACTGTGTCTCCCCCTGTTGCATTGGTTGACCAACCCCATGCCAATGGGTCAATAAATAGACTTTTCAATGGCGACTTACCTACCCAAGATAGACGCTTTACCCTCGACCCTTTGGTGTAGACCTCCACTACTCTAACCTGACGTGGATTGTCCCATGCAGCGGTTGTTGTTTCTTCCACAAAGGATAGCAGATTCAAGGGGCCGTCATTCTGCTATCTCTCTACTCTCTTGCAGTCGCTGGGCAGTATTTCCAACACTTTCCATACGACTCTGCCGCCAGGTTTTGTGTCTGAGATGTACCATTTGCCTGGAGGGTTGTTTTCTTCTGGGCCGAGGATCACAAGCCACTCTTGGGGTACAGCATCCGTGATTCAATGCCAATGCTCCTCCACTCGTTAAAGGCCTCTCAGTTTCTGCTTGAGATCGTTGAGTGGTACCCAACCTCCCTGAGTTAATGACCATAGGTCTTCCATCCTTACTACTCCCCTCCTCACCCAAACTTGTTCGAACGTCCCTGGTTTACCGTCCACAGCAAAGAGGGAACCTGAGTTGTCCCGGATTTTCGAACAACAGTTAAGTACTTTTTCTTTCGAGGTGCGGGGGGACTGGGAGTTCGGCGGCATCTTCTTCCAGGCCTTTCTGATGGGTTCCCTGAACCCCGACTTGAAACTCTTATTCCTGAAGCATGGCGTAAAGAAGCCCCGCTTCTCCTTTTCCTTTCTTCTTTATTTTATTATAGTCATCAGGCAGTTTGTTTCTGGATTCGAACTCCGGTCTGCATTTCAACGGTTCGTCGGGTGTACCAATCGTTGGTTATGGTTACTTGGGCTGTTTTTTTATGATGTTCGACTGGTCTGGGTTGTATGGGCCTCGGTCCACCATTCACAAAATGTGCAAAACAAGAATGAAACTTTTAGAACACGGTAGATACATCGTTTATCTTTTGTTTTGCATGGGGGTGAGTAGTGGTGTGAGACCCTATGCCTTTGCACAAGAATCGAAGGGTTGAGAAACCGATCTTTCAATGATCTTTCAAAGCCGGATTATTCTTCATAGCCCTGTCATCAGCAGAAAGTTGCACAAGAACGGGAGTGTCGATACCCAGTGAGCCTAGCTCGGTTGGCGCACCCACGAGCTGTTGAAATGTAGATTCAAATTCGAATCCAGTCGAAAATCAGATGACCATAATAAAATATTTGCGAATTACTTGGGGCCGATCAGTTCAAGGATGCCTTCAGGACAGCATTATTCTTCATACTCCAGTTGTCAGAGGAAACTTTCTGTCATATGATCTATCCCTGATGGTGCCCAGTTATTCACCACTTGAACCACCAATGCTTAGGCCAATTATCGGTTATGGAAAAAAATAAAATAGAAACGTTTATAGTCGCATGAATTTGGGCGCTCCTGCAGTGGCTCATACGTTTCCTAAAATAGTGGCTCGGATACTAGTGGTTTTAGATATCGTTCACAATTATTTTTTATACTTTAGTCGTCAGGCCTAACGGTTATTTTTCATACTCCAGTCGTCATAAAAAACTTTCGCTCATTTTTTTTTTATGTTTTTCAGTGAAAACTCTAGGCAGGGTTTTACTTGAGGAGGCAATAAGAGCATCCTCCTAAAATGATCCTTTTGCAGGAGGCTCCATCTATTGGTGGGGAGCTTCACCTGCTGAAAACATGGTCCAACGCCCCTTACATCTTGAAAATATTATGACAACAAAACTTTCTATAGTCTGATGGTGCAGTGTCCTTCGTCGTTATAGCAAGGTGGCTATCATTCTCCCACTACCGCCTGTCCCGGTAGGATCTCAGCATATGACCACCCCTCCTATGTAGAGCAAATTGGCAGACGAGTTAAAGCACCAGTACATGCCAACTATCGGTCACAAGTTCATTTCGGAGGTTGCCCGCCGCCCATTCATTTTAACTACGTTGTTCGGCCTCCTAAATTTTCGGAGAGGCTCAAAACATGTTTTTTAGTTGCCTGGGCCCATGTACTGGTGGTTTAAGACAGAAGTTGTAGACATTTTTTGTTTATATTCTTACAACAAAAAAAAAATCCAAAATTAAATAATGATTCTATAGTAAAATTACATTATGAATTTCAATTTTCGTTCCATCTTAAAAAATGTCATTCCAATTTTAAAATTTTTCGTCTTGCTTGAAAACTTTCCTTCCAAGAATGGGGTATCCCTTCTTATTTGAACTGCATGCTAGAGATGGAATGAAAGTCTGGATGTGTTCAGGAAATATTTTAATTGGACTGTCATTCTAAGTAAGGATTTTCAGTCATAAATAGGTTAATCCAATCTAAATTAAACGATATTTGTTGTGGTAGAATGAAAGTTTAATTAAAATATTTCATAAACTCATTCAGACTTCGATTCCATCTTTAACAATAGATGTAGTTGGAAGGAAAAACTTATATTTAGACGGGAACTTATCAAATAAAAATGTAAATTTTAAAATTTGACAAACACTGGAATGATAATTTATAAATATGAAAGTTTTTTTTTTTATGGAATGTTTTTTCAACGTTCATTTCTCATGGGAATTTTTATGTTGTATAGCGAATCCAAGGGTGGGAAGTCCGGTTGGCCTTCAACATGTACAGAAGGGAAAGGGATGGGAAATACAAATTGAAACAGCGGAGAGAGGGGGTGGTAAGGGTTAGTGAAGAGAGGGTAGGCGGGAAGAGAGGAAAGTGTTATCACAAGGGGGAAAGTGGATTGTGACTATGGGGTGAGAGGGAGGGTAGAGGGGGGTAAATGGAGGGTGAGATGAACTTTGTTGTAGATGCGGAAGGGAAACGGGGGGAACGAGAGATGAAGGAATGAGGTCATGTGAAAAAAATTGTGACATCCTCCAGGATGATCCACATAGATCAATATATTTTTATAGCAGTAATCCCCAAAAATCACTTTGAACAGGTATAAGGAAGCACCCTGGTGGTCACAAATGTCAATGGTTTTTGTTGGTTGTCTGATTCTTCCACATGAGCGTCCTTCGAAAAAGGTGGACGGGAAAGGGGGGGGGACGGGAGATGAAGGGATGAGATATTGCGAGGGAATTTG